TTGTTAAAGTACCAGCACTTCTTAGGACACATGCTGTCCTGTCATTCAAATGCATTGCTAAAACTTTTGGCTAGTTTTAATTTCTCTGTTGAGAGCTTCATGTTAAGATGTAGGTTGGTCCTTCAGGGCACAATCCAAAGTCAGTTAAATCCATAAGAATGTGTCAACAGACTGAAACAGGTTTTGGATCAAAGGTTTCTATATATTTGCATGGAATGAATGGCCTCATTTAATAAGGTAGAAGACAGTGCACTGAGTATAGAAGACAAGGCTACTACCTCAGGGATGTGATGAAATAGATTATGGTTACCTTCAACATGGCAGAGCAGAACTGCAGTGTACAAAAGGTGGTTGCTGCACAATTGTTTTGTCTGGAATAGGCAGAGTCTGAGTTTGGAATAAGTAAGTTAAAATGACCTACACATCTAATAGAGATTCTAACATAAATGGTTTTGGTTAGTTCTTGGGGTTTTTTTAACTAGAAAATTTCCCAAACACCTGGAGTTAAATTCAGGATAGAACCACAATCAAGCAAACAGGACTTACAAAAACCATGGGATTTGTCTATCTTTTTTCTTTCCTAAATTTATACCATTATGCAATATGATCTCCCATTCATAATAGAAGTTTTAGCTGATTATTTGCCTATTTGAACAAGCTGTTTCATACTCCTAGTGCACTGCAGTGTAAGTTTTGAGATGTGCCAATTAATGAAAGGCACAGTAGCAAATAAAATAACTAATGCCCTCCTAGTGATTCTGCTTATTGGTCTCTTCCATTAATTTCCTATGTCAAGAAAACCATCCTACTGTACGATTCCTGCCACATAAATGTTTAAGCATTTTAAAGCTTAAGGCCGTGGTTCCCTATCTGGCTGTCCCTGAGAAACAGTTGTCTTTGAGTTGACAGTATACCATTTTTAATGCCATTTATTTTGCAGCAGTTTCTTCTCCCAACTTTTCTACATAAGGTAGAGAGGGGTATTTCAGATTAAAATGGAAAACATTTGTTGGTTAACTTTGGTGAAGGAACTGAATTCAGTCGGTACTTCAGTTATGTTGCTCCTACCTAAAGCCCTGCATCTGTTTCTGTTGAGGCCAATGTAAAAACCCAGAGACTAAAAAAAAGGCCTTGTTCTTGTCTGGTGCAGTGTAATTCCTAATGACTTTGGTAACAGGTACTCTGCATTTCTCAGGATTGCATCTGCAGTTTTACAAGGGGGAAAAAATATCTTTAAAAGATCATGTGAAACGCTGCTTACTGAAAGGCAACAGTTTATTTGCTTGCGAAGCAACCTTCATTCATCAAGTTGGAATTAACTGGTTTAATTTTGTCATCAGGTTGTTTTGGGGGTTTGTCTTTTTTTAAACAAACTGCTATGACATACAGAAAAAAAAATACAAGAAAAATACTACCTTCCAAAAATTACCTTTGATTTACTCCTGGAAGATAAACATGGTTGGTATGTTTTCTCAGGATATCCTCTATCTGTTTCTGTGTGTTGGTTTTAAACATATCTGAATTAAAAGGGGTTTTAATCTCTGTCTCTTCTGTGAAATTAGATTGTACACAACTAATTATGACTGCTCTTCATAGTTTGCTGTTCTAGCATAGCCATAAAATGTATCAACGTATGTGTATATATTAATGACTATTTGATGACAGACACTTTAGATTATATATTTAAGCAGCCATGTCAAAACTTTAAAGGTAGATGGCTTCAAAAGTAACAGCATAATCATAATACTTGCAAACTATTTTACAAGCAAACCGTGGCCTCAGCACAGATCTCTCATCCTTACCAGCAGTCTGAAATCCACCTTTTCTTTAAAGAACCCAAATTACATTTGTTTTGCCATTGCTCGTTTTCCTCTTACCAAGATGTATTTAAATAATGACAACTACCTGTGACTCAGTCCTCACCATTCATCTCAGAGAAAAGCAGCCTTGGTACTGTACCTCTAAGTTGTATCCTCATTGGTGTGAACTTGTGTCGCATTGTGCACAGCAAGCACGATCTACTCGTTCTGAGAGACTGAACATTTCACAGCTGGTATCGTTGGTTTCCCCCTGGGACTGCCTCACTGTTCAGAATGACTTTTCTTCACGTAATATATCCCTTGTACATGTTCCCACTGCATTTTTTTCTTTCTGCCTTTTCGCCAGTTTATAACAGTATTGTAGGAATAGCCATGAAATAAAAAGCTTAATGTACTGATTTGCAGTCCCAAGGGGAATTAACATTAGAAGTGAAGTTGTTATTATTTTCTGAAAAGTGGTGTTATCTTCCTTTCTATTATTATTATTCTATTCCTATGATAATATGATGTTCCATGTAAATTTTCATGTGCTGGCATGCCTACAAGTTAATAGTGTAATAGAATGCTCAGCTCTCAACATTAGGGTGTTTTTAAGGTGAATTGCATTACACATGCCATCTCTTTGCAGAAAGAATATGGGGTTTGGCAAAGCTACCTGCTGAGCAACATAATAAGATTTTTGTACAAAGTACAAGTTACTGATTATTATTGTATTTTATTTTTCTATGATTTCCTAAGAGGCATTATCAGGTCTTACAGATGGGGTAAGCCTGTTTATTAAGATATTTATTAGCAAATAAAAGTTACAGTACTGGTGGTTATTTTTGAGTTAATGGTGTTTGTTTTGCCTTAAATTACTAATATAATGATACACAGTGAAGCCTGTCATACATGATCATGCAAAAAAACCCAGATGCTTAACACAGGGTGGTGTACTAATAAAGATGGACCGGCAACATGTTCTAACACTTGAGATGCTTCAGGGTGTTGTTGTGTTTTTTCAGCTAAAGAATGCTTAATCACAGTGGCCTCTTCTGTCCTTTACCACTGAGCATTTACGCTCTGATAAATGCCTTGTCAAAATGCACGTACAGTTAATAACATCAGGAAAAAACGTACGCATTAAAAGCTCCAAACAAAAGCACACTCTCCTGCTTCAGAAACACTGGGAATATGAATTTTAACTAGACTTTGATGTGCTATCAAGATTCTGCTGTACTGTTTGCCCTCCTTGTGGCGATTCACTGAGCCATGCAATTCCTTCTCTATTTTTTGTTTTCAACACTTACTGATAAATGCAATTTTAAACCTGATTGTACTATGTAAATAATGCTAGGGCAGGCAATACACAGTGATTTACAAATAAGTGGTTGCCATATGCAATAATCAGACCCTACTTCAAAAAAGTTTAAGGTTATAATTAGGCTCTAATTTCATAACATCATATACATGCAGTACAAAACTGAACAAGTGTGTGTAGATTATAGGACATGAATGTCACACATCCATGGTCCGTTACATCCTGCGTATTTTACATGGGAAAAGCTTTCTCACTAAGGACTGTCAGGTTTAACACAGTGTATATAATGAAGAATTATTTCATTTTAGATAAGGTTACAGAAATGCCTTTGCCATTCTTTGTTCTTAATTGATTTCAATATAAAACAGAGAAGATAACACCCTCCTCTAACGCATACTTACACCACAACCACATGAGCTTTTAGGAAGTGTTTCAACCCAGAATTTCACTGTGAGATTCATGCTAATTGCTTTTCCATAATGGCATCTCATTTTAGTCAGAACCCTTCTAGTATACGGAAATCATGAAATCATTATTACAATTTACCTCAAACCTTTATGGAAGCAACAGTAAGAAAGTCAAATGACATACAAAATGTTTGTAGTAGTTTTATCTTTGAAGTTTAATGGAAAGCACATTGTAACATCACTCTCAAACAGGCGTTTCCACTGCTCTCATTCCTCATCCCAGGACACCAGTTGAGGCAGCAGACTGAAGGCTCCTTCAGCACACATGAAACTAGGTTAGTTTTCCAGTTCCATGACAGAAAATTGCTTCTTTGAGCCAAGGAGCAGTACAGGCCATCTTTTGGAAAGCAGAGGCAGAATGTGCCCTCCACCCCACACTCTGAAGCAATCAATCGCTTACTTTTGGTCAAAAGTGAAGGACAAACCCAAAAACATGCTTATAAATTGGAATTACAGAAATACCAGATTGTAGTGAGGGGAGCATAAGGTACTGAGTTGCTCTTCCCTCCCTTGACCCTGGCTTGGCCATGCAGGGTTTAATTAGGGCCTGCAGTATAGGGTTATCAGTCCGAACACTGGGAGTGGTGTATGAACAATCTTTCACGTCCTATGAGCTCTGAGTGAAGAAGGCTCACACAACTGTTCCAGTTAAGCAGTAAGCAGAGATGCAGTCTTTTTAACTGCATTTGATAACTGCAGCAGCACAGGAAGTTGCAGCAGTCACTTTTACAGAACTGGGAACAATTTTGGCAACTGAATACATCACAGAAAAAGAGACCAGGGTTTAGTTTATATGTGTACCTGCTTGTTGCGCATTTTAAGTAATTTCAGTCTGTGCTGCAGACCTAGAACCAGTCCGACTGCTACAACAGACTACCTAAGTGCATTCCTAGCCACTGTGCCCCATCTAAACAATGTGCCATCTTCCCAAATCCCAGCTGCTTCAGTTACCTAAGTGACAGATGGATTTCAGACTTTCCCTCAACACTGTGCTCCACCAAACTGCCCACTTAATAACTGGAGTTGCTGTGAACACCCTTGATGGTGTTTATTAGACTTTTCTTCACACATTAGCTGTAACTCCCAAGAGGATTTATCTCTTGGAGTCCAAGAAAGGAGCGGGGGGTCAGAAAAACACTCCGCAGGCGCTGGATACAGAGGATCAAAGGGATGCTCGTCGTCTGTGTGCGACTCCTGCCCGGTGCAGGCGACAGACGCCCGGACACAGCGGACATGTTAAAAAGCAAAGCTGCCGCAGAACACGTGGGTCCCTTCTTTCAACCTCGTCTCCCCTCACAGGCCGGCACCTGACGGCTCAGCCCCCCGAGCTCGCCGGAAGGAGCGGGGCTGCTGAGGGCAGGCTGGGAGGCGGAGCTCGGCCTCGCCGGGGAAGGGATTGGCGGGGCGGTGGTTTCCTCGGCAACGGTTCAGGCGGCGGTGGTTGCTGGCGGCCGGGCCTGGCCGACATCTCGCTGCGCCGAGGTCTGTGCTGCGGCCGCGGGGAAGCCGGAGGTGCCGGGTGCTGCTTGGGCGGCCCTGGCCTTCTGTCTGGGAGCTGTGGGCGACGGGACTCGCACCTCCTGCCGGTTGCTGCGGCAGGCGGGGGTGGCCTTGCCTGGTAAGGTTCGGGGCCTCGGGGAATGAGCGCCCGCTGCCATGGGTGCTGTAGAGGGGGGCTCGGCCCAGGGAAGGGGAGCCCCATCGTGAGCAGCCCGGCCGCGATTGCGGCCTCCCCGGGGCTTCGCTGCTCCGGTCCCATGCGCTGCGGGGAGGGGGGGACGGGACGTGCTGGGCCGCGGGTACCGAGTGCGGTGGGACTTGGTGGTCCTGAGGAACAAAACAAAGTATGGCTAGAGTTTTAAATGATGCTGATCGAAAAGAGCCTTCTGTGGGTGGCTTGGGCAGCCTTGGTCTCTCATCGTTTTAATTTGAATTAGATGGACTTCTAGTGTCGTTTAGTTTGGAAGGGGCCTCTGCCTCAAACCCTCAAACCCCACGGTGTGTGTAGCACTCTACGGACTGAGGCTTTCGGCGCAGCGTGCCCGATAATGGGGGTGGGTGGTGGGTTGCGATGTCTTGATCTGAGCAGGCTGTGCCCGGCCGAGCATCCCGCAAGGGAGGGGTGTGCAGGAGGTCACCGCTTCTCGGCACGCTGGACATCCCTGGCTTGTTTTCAGGAGGCTGGCTGCCTGGTTAGTCACAAGTGATAATCACTGGTGCCTCAGACAGATATAAGTTCGTGGGGTTTGATAACGAGTTCCTGGACCGGACTCTTTGTCTTAAATGATTTTAGGATATGGCTAATATATGCTATATAGCACAGTAGGCTAAACATGAGCTGGCAGGAAAAGGAACCTGTGCCAGCGTAACTGCTGTAACCTCATAGCTGAGGAAAAGAATGGGAGAAAAGGGACGGGGAAGGTAGTCAAGGGTACATTTTTCCTGCTGTATCCTTAAATAATGACTTTGCCAACTGTTTTGGAAAACTGCTAGAAAAAAAATGGCTGTGGTTAAAACGCTGCTAGAAACTTATCAAAGTACGTGTATTTGGGCTTTTAGGTTTGAAAGTGAAGTCCTGGTAGTATCTTTTAAGTGCTTACATTGTCTCCTTTTTCATTTTAAGAGTACTTGCGAGGTATTTTTCTGGACCTTATAATCTAGACTGTCTAGCTAAGTCTCTTGATTGGACTAGAAAGTAGTGTGTCTTGGAGCAGGGTTTTGTCAGGTTAATTTGCTAATAAACAGTAAGCCTTAATCTGCCTCCAGAGTTGTATATTAAAAAGGGAGTGGGGCATAAAACACAGGGAGTTAGAAGAAAAATAATTGCTATTTTTTCTTTGAAGGAATTGCTATAACTAATATTGGGTTTGTTTAAGCCAGTGACAGCAGTGTGTGCTGTTACATACATAGCCATTCTTTACATCACTCCCAGTCTTGAATCAAAATCAGTAGATAAAACCTTCAAAAGGATCTGTATTAAAAAGGAAAACAAAATCATAGTGTAAACAAAGGTGATGGCTTATGGGATTTTATTAAATTCAAAGATTTTAAAATTATTTCTATTAAAATGCGTAAATAATCATTTTAAAATCAGTTACTGAAGAAGTGAGACCAAATGTTTGTTATTGACCTTTTTTCCTCTTCCTCCTCCTACTATGATTTCTGGGGTAATTAACACCACAGTTGGAGTTGTCCGCTGCTGTGTGTTTTGTCTTTATTGATGGAAGACCCAGCTTTCACCACTGCACAAAAATCCTCAGGCATTCATTAAATGCTTTACTATTGAATGTGTCACAAGTATTTCAGCTGTTTGATTGCTGAAATTACAATAGACAAAGGTTATCTTCTTTGCCAAGTATGTTCAGCCAGGTACTGCAAGGGGATGCATGATGTAAGCAGCTTGGAATACACTACTGCCAGGTAACTTCAGTCAGTGTCTGGGCAGGAGCAGGAGCTTGGCATCTACTTGACATGAGGGTGAATGTTACTGAGTCTGGCTTCATGTCTGTTGGATCTGTTATAAACAGTTTCTATTTGTAGTGAATGGGTTCCTAATTTATACATGTTAATATCAGCAAAGCCCATTACAATTAGAGTTTGAATTGAATTGACAGAAGGTACTTGATTTGCTTCAGGGTTCAGTAAATGATGTAGCAGGTGTTTAGAAGAGAAACACTGTTTTGCTTTGTTGTCTAAATTATGAAGACTGACTGGACTACTGATAGTTTGAAGTAAAACGCAGTGGTCTTCCTTTGATTTCAGTTTGGTAGAAGGCAGGGAGGAGTTGCTGTTGTGCTCCTCCTATTTGGACTGCTCAGCATCCATGCAATATTTCTACCCAGTGAATCAAGGACATTGTATTATATAGGCAGGGCTATAAACAGCCAATCTACTTTTGTATCAAGGCCTCTTCACTATAATCAGCTTACACTCCATTTGCTTAGTATACCAAGCAAACCTGCTGTGACAGTGTTTGTGTAGTGTCTTATTTGCTCTGTTCTTTAAAAAGTTTAATGACTGCTTAGCCACATGCCCACCTACTGTGCTGGCACAGCTGTACATGTTATGGTTTTGCAACAGCCATTTCCTTCTCTGATTTTCTGAACAACAGGTGATCCCTGTGTATTTGAGCCAGAACTATGGGCTTGTTTGACAAGCTAGCAGGATGGCTCGGGCTGAAGAAAAAGGAGGTTCATGTTTTGTGCCTTGGCTTGGACAATAGCGGCAAAACAACGATCATAAATAAACTTAAGCCTTCAAATGTAAGTAGCCTACTTAGTTCACTATTGCTGTTTTTACTGCAGAGTTGATGTTTGTTTAAATTGGTTTTGCATGCTGTTATACTAAATGTGACCTTGGAAAGATACAAAGAGGTTTTTGATTTAGTACAGTGGAATAAATACCTTTTAAGGATTTCTAACTACTTAAAACTAAATGTAAGCATCCGTGTCCATATCATGAATACATTTCCCAAAAAACACTGTTAATACAGCACGTTTTTTCTAAGATCACTAAATAAGGAAGAGTTGATGATGGCTGAAATCAGCTTCTGAAACAGTTTTCTTAGGTCACTTGAACAATTGCTATAGGATTGCAGTTACGAGTGATGTGTTGAACATTTGTGATTAATACAGTTGTGTAACATGTCTACATTTATCATGTTTATTTTAGTATCTCCTGAGAAATAGTAAGTCTATAATAAATAATAAATGTGAAGATGCACACTTATTAGTGACTTCAGCATTTTTAAAGCGGAATAGCTTTCAAAATAAGTAGCATGTATACTTGCAGTCCATTCATCCAATGAAAAGTGCCTCAGCCCACTAAGAGTGAATAATAATCTGAGCAAAGTTTGAAGTAGGATTACCTTGTTTCTGAGTACGTTTATGGAATAGAAATAGATTAATTTTGACGGACATGTTCAAAGCCAGGGGCTTGTGCATCTTGGTTATTATGCATTTAGGAAACCGTGATTTTTGCTGTTTACATCAGGACACAGCATTTATTGTTTTAGTTTCCATTGACCTTTTCCTGAAGAGTACCACTGGAAATTGATTAAAAAATGTACTGTAGTAAAGAGTCTGCTATTCTTCCATTCCTGGCAATTATTCTTCCACTGAAAATTAAAGAGTTTTATAAACAAAGACTATAAACTATTTGTTATCTACTGCCAGTCATTTGGCGGAAATGTGCAATTTGTACCAGGCAAAAAATCATACATTTGTGTAATTTTTGAGACCTTTGTTGTAGCACGGTTTTTATGTTGTGTCTTAAGCAGTAAAGGATTCCTAACTAGAGCTGAATACAGCCTTTAAGATTTATCACAATAATGGGTATTAGAGAAGGTCCCAAGGGAATTACACTAGTAGAATAAAGGCAATTTGTTTGCTTTCCTGTAAATCGTATAATGCAAATTTACTTCTGAATGTTTTAATTTAATGTGATGCTTTAGGAGGGTACAGCTTGTGTGAGTCCCATCCTTGCAAGACATGACAAATTATCTAATGTGCAACAAACGTCATTTGATCAGACTTGATTAAATTGATTATTATTAGAAAGTTCAATGGACAGACGATTTTGAGCTCTAGATCAACCCAGTCTTAAGAAGAGCTACTACTTTGCCTTGGGAGCAATATGTTAGGTGTCTGGCAAATACAGGTGTTTCTCCAGGGCCTAATAAATAAATTTTAAATAAATGTTAAAGAAGTAACATTTCTTCTACTCTGCACAAAATTTTTCCTTGGGAACAGGAACTTTTGACTAAACTGTTTACAATGGTGAAATGCCAATTTCATAAGGAAGCTGCAGGTGAACAAGCTAAGTTTGCTTCAGTTATATGCAAAATGTCAATTGCTTATAGATAGCATGTTTAATAAGGGGCTCTGGAATGTGTAATGAAGGATTGCATGTCACTTTTTCAGGTAGCTCTATAATCTAAGAAATGTTGCCTGTCTCCCTACTCAATATTGATGCTTCTTAAAAGAGTTACTCTGTTGTTCCAACTTAACTGATGGGCACTTTGCTAGCTCAGCAGTAAACCTGGTTATCAGACAGATCTCTTAATAATGCTTTATGGTTTGGCTATAATTATGGTAAATGATGATTTCTTCCAGTGCTCTAATAGCTTGAATTCATCTATGGTTAAGCCATTTTATAACATCTGCTGTATAATTCCCAATGTCTAATAAACTCCTCTAGCCTGTAGACAGAAGCTGTGAGTGTGGCCAATCTAATGTCTTCATAGAATTATAGCCTCTTTTATGTAAGAGGCTTGGGGTGTTGTGCAGACGTGTTTGGGTTGACATTGTGGTTTCCAGACTGCACAAAAACTTTGACCTCAGTCATATTCTTCAAGCTGATAACTTCCATGTTAGCCTATCTTCTATTTATTTCACAGGTAATATCCCCATATATGCGTGCACACAGGCTAATGTAAAGGGTAGAATTTCATTCTTAATGGTAAAGTGTTTTCAGTGCTATTGTCCGATAGCATTCACTGTATTTCCTAGAAAATACAAAACATTGCGTTTGAATTACAGTACTTTTCTGGGAACTTTTTTAATATAAAGCATCTGAATCTGTAGAAAGGCTTTGTATTGCACAGTTGGGGGAAAAATAGTTCTGTAAATGTATTCATGTTTCAAATATATTTAAATATTTACATTTTTCAATTTGATCATAAAACTTACACTTTCTTTCTTTTAAAGGCTCAAACTCAGGACATCGTTCCAACAATAGGATTCAATATAGAGAAATTCAAGACTTCGAGGTAGTACTTTCATTTTCTTCATTTAGGAGTAGTAATTAATACGTAATATTTGGACTTAATTAGCTCTTCCAGTGGCATGTAATGGAGTACAATGTATGGTGCTACAGTAACATTACATGCCATTTGGTGAAACATTGTAGTACCCAGGAGTCAGAATCACGATCCAGGACTGACAGTGTTAGAATATATTCTATCTTTTGTGCTGCTATAAAACTGTGTATAGTTTTTGCAATAGTTTGTATGAGCATCTGATTTCTGTCTGTTAACAATTTCAGAATAGGCATTGTTACAGTTTTGGGGAGAGACAGTTGCTCAGATGGTAACCTATATTTCATTAAGCACTCTCACTGGAGGGAGTCTGAGGGATTGTAGTTTAATCTCATTAAATGAAAAATGGTGGCTACAGTGTTAGCAATGGAAAGAATGCAGGGGCAAAGGTCAGGAAAAGGAGGAAGAAATCATTAGTTAAATAAAAGCTTAAGATTTAGAAAAGGAATGTTGTGAGACAAAGATACTTCAAGGAGGTAACATTAGCTATTATTTTATTTTTCTGTAGCCTTAACAGTGTGTTTTTAATGGGTGCAGTACATCTTCAAACCAAGTAGCGTGCCCAACTGGATGATAGATGTGCAAGAAAACTGTTTATTCCTTGGGCTGATGTGTGGGACAGATAGGGTTCATGTTTTTATAGGAGGCTCAACAGCTTATATTCTGTCTCAGTAAAGCACATCAGACAGTTTGGGGTTTGGCTACATAAATCAATTAATATTGCTTTCCTTTGTTCTGATCCTGTAGTAGGACAGGTGAACTGCAAATACACCACGTAGCACGATGGATACTGACGTGATAAAAAAGAGCCCAAATGGGATCTTATTTTGTGTTTGATGTAACTTTCCATAATCGTTTTAGTTCTTTTATTCAGAGAATAAACAATCATATTTTCCATTGTGAAATATTTCTCTAACATGACCACAAAACTGGGTAGGATATTTGGAAAGCAGATAGAGTAACCTGAGTCCATTTGGGAATCTTTATCAGGAGTTAAGCTGATCTGTGGGTTTTTTCTGCCAGGGTAGCAAAGAAAATAGTTTGGTTTTGGGTTTTGTTCTTTGCCTCATACACCTTTTCTTGTCTTCTTTTGCAGTTTGTCTTTCACAGTGTTTGATATGTCAGGTCAAGGGAGATACAGAAATCTATGGGAACATTACTACAAGTAAGCTTATAATTTATTTTAAAGCACTGGTGTTCATATTAGGTGGTGTATGTTAACTAAACAGCAGGATGATATCTAGTGGTTAGAAATGATACAGAGAAGACTTGCATGTGGTGTTTAACAGAAGGTCGTTCTGGATAAGTAAAACTTTCTGTTCTAAAAAGATGATAATTGCTATGTGCTGTTAATCAGCATCATTTTGGGGACATCTTGTTGACTTAAAGATTAGCTGATGATCCCATAGTAGAGATGGGATTTAGATGTTGAAAATCAATCCTCTAAGGAAGCACCAAGATGAGTTAGGTTTCCAGTTTTTCTGTTCTTCTATAGGTTGGTGACCTAAGACTCAAAATGTTTTGGCTGAAGGCTGAGCATTTTAGAAGTGTGGGAAACTAGCCTTAGAGGAAGAGGCACATGTAGCTAATAACTTAACCAAGTATTCTTAGATGTTAGTTATTATGTAGGATATTCACTGTATTTTATAACGCTATGGTATTCCTTGTGATAATAGACATCATTTTCTGGTTTCCTGGATTCTCATGAAGTTTGAGTCTTCATTTATGTTGTCTCATTGTTATTCTGTAATATAGATGGTGGTCTAAATAAGGTGAACAACAGTAAGCCATGCAAAAATACCTGGGTGAAACAGAATGGATAAATTCTGAAGATTGCAATATAGATTAAATACGAATATTTAACATGATAGAGTTTAAAGTATTCTTTAATTGAGGGTAAAAACTTCATCTCCTTTCTGTGCAAAATATGTGTTAGCAATTTGAAAACTTCCTGTGTGGGTGGGAGATTTTCATTGTTCAAAAGTGTTAGATGTATGTCTTCCAAATCTTTCAGTTTTCAGTAACTGATGCCCTTAGGCTGCTCTCAAAATGCCACTCAGGTGCTTCATAACAAATTTTTTTCCTGACTCCTGTATTTAATGCAGTAACTTTTCCTTTGTGTGGCATAAACAGTTTATTTCATCCTAACAGTAAGGAAGTTTCTTTGGTAATGCTGACAGTGAAATGTGCACCTGTATCCACCTGTTTGTGATCTACTGCAGTGGACACATATTTAACTTCTATGAATAATATAAAACTAATAATGTGTTGTTCAGTTTGTAAAGTTAAGCAAGATCTAATGTTGCAAGTATTGCAAAATGTCAGTCAGATCTGATCAAGTGTCTTAAGTAGGTGCTTTGGAGTACTTGCAGCTTGGCCTTTTCTTCTGTTTGGCTTGACGCTATCTTATAGGATGTCCTCAAAGTACACTTGTCTTAAATATATGTAACTGGTGTTGTGTTCCCATTATGGTTACTTGTTTGTGAAGTTATTTTTTGGTAGTAAATACATGCCAGGACTCCCAATTCCTCTAGAAAAAATACTGTATGCTCATAAATATTACTTAGGCATTTTCAACTAATACTCAGAAGCTTTACTGGGTGTCAGAGTTCTTCTGTACTCCAGGAAAGAAGGGGGGGGGGAAGGGGAAGGGAGTGTAAATAATGTATATGTAATTGTCTCTCAGGGAAATATAAGGAGAAATTAATAATACATTAAAATGTGATTTAGAAATATTTTGGGGGGTGTTTATAACTGTTCATCTGAATTAGTCTTTATTTTGCTTTCAGGTAAGTTACAATAAATGGAACATCAAGTCATAAAATATCATATATACTCCGAAATAATGAGTAGAATAGTCAAGGGGAAATTGTTTTAAACTGAAAGAGGGTAGATTTAGGTTAGATATTAGGAATAAGTTTTTCACTATGAAGGTGGTGAGACCCTGGAACAGGTTGCCCAAAAGAAGTTGTGGCTGCCTCATCCCTGGCAGTGTTCAAGGCCAGGTTGGACACGGCTTTGAGCAGCCTGGTCTAGTGGAAGATATCTCTGCCTGTGACAGCAGGGTTGGAAGTAGATGATCTTTAAGTTCCTTTCCAACCCAAACCATTCTGTGATTCTATTACATGGTGTTTAGGAGCTGACCGCTAAGCTGTGGTCATGTTGGCAGCAAGATGTCTTGATTAGAAATGGAAGTTTTTACCCATTATTCAAAGAAAACACAGATCCTGTTCATGCAGACTTTTGTAAGTTACATTAATCCGCATATGCCTTGTTGTTAAACAGCTATGGACACATGCTTTTTTTCCCTAGAAAGGTAATTAACCTTTCTCTCACTAAACTTAGTGTAGTGAACTTAAATAGTGCAGGAAATGAAGAATTTCTACAAAACCCCATCTTTAGATTTCCTGTGTCTGACCACAGGGTCAGAATAGCGGTTGATTACGTTTACAGAGGTCATTTTTCAGCCTCAGAAGTGAAATGAAGCTCTTCTGAAAGGCCTGTATAGACTCATCCTTTTATAAGCTACACGGCTAAAACCTCGTGTCGCAAAAAATTAAGCAGGTTACCAAAAGACTGAATTTTGGAAATAAGAATGGATTCAAATGTCAGTGGTAAATACCAACAAAATTTACAGGGGGGGAAATCTCAGGTTTGGGTTTTTTTTGGTGTTTCTTCTGAAGCCTTTCCTTAATCAGTTTAAGAGAACCTATAATTTGCCTCTTTGCTTTTTTTATGTCATGCAGAGAAGGCCAAGCCATTATTTTTGTCATTGATAGCAGTGACAAATTAAGAATGGTTGTGGCCAAAGAAGAACTTGACGCCCTTCTGAATCATCCAGGTGAGGAGGCTTTTTTCCTCTTCTCTTTCCGTATTTCTTATGTTGTCTTAAGCCCTTTTCTGACACATTCTGCATTCTGAGTAATATGCAAATATTTTAGTCACCATGAATACTAGAACAATAATAGCCTCCAGTAAGTTCACATTTACAAACTGATCATACTTCAGTTGGCTACCCTGGGTTGGATTGGTCTCATTAATCAATATAGCTCAAAAGTTGCATTGTTGAGAGGAAGAATAGACTTTGACCCTTTGGAAGCTGAAAAGCCTGTATGTGATGATCAACACATACAAAAAAGTATCTCTCTGCCTGGAGTTTTCATGAAGAAAGCTAATTCTTTTAATGTAACTTTTATTTTCTTTTTTTATCTTCATTATCATTTTAAAGTATTATTACACTAGCCAGAAATAAGGAGAGGTAATTATACCAGTCAGTTTCAATTGCCAGTAACAGGATACAAGGGATGGAAGAAGATATGAGATACGACCAGGGGAGTGGGTTTAGGGGTTTGGTGTGGTTTGGTTTTTTACATGAAGCTACACTTTTTGAATCAAGTTCTGAGATTAGTCAATGCTTTGCTTCTCTGCCCTCCCCTGTAGCAAACATTACTGGAATGGTTTTTGTAAGCAGTATGCAAATTTGACTTTCAGCACTTTAGGTAGTTGCTCTAACCAGATTATAAAACTACATAAAGGAAATTTAAAAGTTAAATAAGCCTGTAGTTTTTATTTGTTGAGCTGGTAGAGCTTTAATTTCTGGGGCTACCATGCTGAAAGTAAGACAGGAGAAGCTGACTTGCATTTGTAACCTACTGGTAAGGGCAGTTATATTACTGTGTTTGTATTTTCCATGAAGACTGCATATAGCACATTAGTTCATCAATAAAGATGCTGTAACAGAGGTGTGTGTGAGAGCTGGCTGGACTCTCTCAATTTCATGTTCAAGGGTATGGGTCATTTCAAGTGCAGACATTGAAAGACAGACTTGCAAAGGTGAAAGGGGAGGATGAGTTCATCCAAAGGCTGTAGGTGGATTAGATAGAGGCCAGGGAGCTTTGTACCAAAACAGATATCAACCACAGTAGTAAAAGGTGATTCTGTTGGTAAAATGGAAGCTGCATAAGACCAAGTGTGGGAGGCTGAGAGTGCTGTAATAAGTTACTGGCTTATTAGAAGGCAAAAGAGTGAAAATGTCAAGACTGAGGAGATGCAAGCTTAGGCGGGGCTTATTATTTAGGCGTTAAGAGGTTCTTAACGCTGATCTAGCAGGTCAGCGCAGTTCAGTTGTTCATGTGTTTGTGTCTTTTAGTTCTGAAAGTCTGTGGCTATGGCCACCTAGTATATTCCCTAGGACCAGGGAGGGGCAGTTGTGTATTTCTGCCTTGGAATAGCTCAGCCCAAATGCAGCATTATTATATTTCTAATTTCAATAGGTCACACCTAAGAGAACCACAGAGAAGAAAAAGTTCTTCTAGTAGTAATGTTTGATTAAAGTAGCTGTTAACTGAATCAATATATAACTGGGCTACTATACCTAAATTTTTATTTGTATTACTGTTCAGCATCCTGCACACCCTACTTTCTCCCAGCCTATGCTTCTGCCTCTGTGAACCTCTTGCGGTGAATTGCATTTACATGGTTACTTAAGCTTTAAATGGATGCAGGGTAACAAGCTTGATTCAGTTCCTGTGTGAAAATCTTAACAATCCTTTAGAAAAACAGTTCCCTCTCTTTTTGCCAGACTTTGCCTGAGCTTGTCAGGTGAAAGGGAATGTGTACTGCAAAGCATTAATGGGCATAATGTACTGGCTGGGACTCTTGTAAATCAGAACTAGGTATTATTACTTACATAAGTTACAATGCACTTTACAAGTAACAGTTTGTTTGATGATCATTGTTATTTTTATATCAAACACCGTTCTTCAGCATGGAGTCTGTAGATGGGAGATGTAGATTACGTGTTTTACTTGGAGATGGTAAGACCATAGATTACTTGGTTTAGATACTGACTCTTGGGTCACCTGACCTCCAGCACATGCTTCTAAAGCAAACTGACATTTCTGTACATTTGACATTCTTTGCATAAAATTATACATCACACATATCTAATCTGTGGGGGGGATTATTTTTAATGTGTTAACTCAGAACTGCTTGCAAGTAGAAAATTTTACTTTCCATTAATAAGTATAAAAAGGGGTGGGGGAATACTGTACAGTAAGAAACAAGGTGATAAGGTAGGACATAATGTCAATTTCTGTGACCACCACTTTATTTAGGAAACGTCTTTAAGTGTACATTTTTGAGAGTACACTTATGTGAATAGGTTGGTGCCCCCTTTTAATTGCTTCAAAAAAAACCAATGTATTCCTTGATTAACTTGGCTATTTGTATATATGTTGTCAACTAATTTCTGTCAATTTATCTATAACCTGAAACTTGTGGGTACTAGGGTTCATTTAATGATATGATAGATTAATGCAGAAGTTTTAATCAGTTGAACAAAAGCTGTTCAACTGTGGAAACAAAACAGATTTAATGATACTTTGTGCTGTATTTTGAGGTCTGGCTTTTGTGCTAGATGATATCAGAAGATAAAATAGCCCCAGACAGGGTAAATTGTCGTGAAAATTGTGAGCGCTTTGGTCAGCATTTCTGATCTCTGTGTCTGGGTAGACAGTGTTATCTGCACTGATTTTTATGGAAAGGTTCAGTAGGGGGGTTGAAAAAAACATAATTGGGAAGGCTCAAACTATATCAGTGCTGAGTCTGTTAGGGTTTTGTTTTGTTGGGTTTTTATGTTGTCCCGTCATGTCGTGTCCCACCACTCCCCCTGCAGGGACAGCTGGCTTATGGCTGATGTTCTTAAATAAATCCTTAGCTTGTTCCTTTATGAAATAACCTTTGCTTTTTACTATTTAAGAAGGAGCCAGTATAACAATTTTCAGGGGCTGGGGAGTGTTAATTTCCCTTCAAAGATTGATTGATAGACTCAAATCTAGATTTTCTAGATTTTTCTAATCCTGTATTTCCTCCTTTGTTTGAATAATAATCTTACAGTTAGTATTGGCGCTGGCAGTTTCACATCTGTCAGTTTGAAGACGGTATACTTTGTCTCCTTCCAATGACTCTTTAGTCTTTCATGGTAATCAGTGAAGCTTGTGCTTTTGAATGTGTATGCCAGATATTGATAGTGGACTTCATTTGGTCTGTAGTTCTCACTGCTAGCTGAGAAGAGCTCCTGAAAAGTAAGTTCAAGTGAAGATAGGATAAGAGATGTCCAGACATGTGCATGTTTTCCTATCTTACTAATTTTATGAAGTCATGGATGTTCTTCAGGATGCAAAATGATAAGTCAGACTACCTGCAACTATTGTTGTGAGGTTATGAATGAACACAAATCATTTTTCTATCCATTTTACACATCCAGTCCTCACCAAGCAGAGATGTGTGATATTTGTAGGCAGTTATTTGATCTCCTGTTCCTCAGCTGCACCAGCAATTTATACCTACAGCTGTAAATGTAAGTATAAGGTAGGGGGAAAGGGGGTGGAAGATCCCAAAGACTCCAAGAAAGTTTGTGAGCATTCTTGAAGCATGCTTCAGAGGCCAAGTGACCCAACAGTATTCAACTTGGTAGGATACAACCATCAGAGAATTGCAGTTACAGGTGAGCAAATATCTTCCTGTACTGTTTGTAGCTTATTAGATGCAGAGATTAACAAGTGTTGCATAATGCCATGCTAGTTCTATTTCTGCTCATGTCTAGATATAAAGCACCGTCGACTGCCTATTCTCTTCTTTGCTAACAAGATGGACCTCAGGGATGCAGTGTCCTCTGTGAAAGTATCTCAGTTATTGTCATTAGAAAACATCAAAGACAAGCCCTGGCATATCTGGTAACTTTCCCTTTTGCTACCCTTTTATTGCTATTACTTTTTACATTCATGTTTCAGCTCTACCATGCCACTCAGTATCATATAACATAAATTACATCAACTGGATAAACTGCTGTGTTGCCACATGTGGAAACTGTAGTAATACTAAAATACTTGCTATGAAACTTGTTTTAAACACATGATGTATTCATGTTGACTGTGACTTGATAAATTTTCACAATAGAACTGTTGCCCAAATAATGAAATGGAGAAATTCTACTAAAATCAGAAAGCAGTGTTCTTATGTGAAGAATAGCTGCTATTATTTTTTGCTGGGAAATTGAGTCTCAGTGTTTCTGTTATCAGTACTGCTTGCAGCTTTCAGAATATCAACAATTAAACCTTTAGAGATGTTATTTAACTCTCCAGATGCTTTAGTAAACTACTGCTGAAAGGCCATTTAGTAAACTGTTCTCATGTGAACTCAGAGGGACACCATGCTCTGTACTGTATAATGTTTGAGGGATTTTTAGTTGTGGGCTAAATGTGTGGCCATTTAGTAAACTGTTCTCATGTGAACTCAGAGGGACACCATGCTCTGTATTGTATAATGTTTAAGGGATTTTTAGTTGTGGGAGCTACTGTCTTCTTTCTGAAGGATGTAAGTTTTCATGTCAATAGAGGGCTTTTGTGCCAGTGTTCACAAGGAAGAAAAAAAACCCTTTTGTTAGAAGTGTTTTATAGAAGTTATATTTTTGTCTCATTGAAGCCCTCAGATGCTATAATTAGAAGTGAAATCAGCAGCTAAATGCTGTTGAAAACTACAGTTTTCATTTATGCCCTTTTAATATTAAACTTGATTACCTGTGCATTGTTTTGGGGTCACTGCTTTTTGTCTGATGAATTCTGAAGATCTTTGGAAGGTAATCTTATAACTGACTGCAGTAACAGTCTAGATTCAATGCAGTGCTAGTTTTCATTAGCTGAAGAAGCACGGTTACATCCCTGTGATTCAAGAGGTAGATTTATACTCTTCTTGGTATAGCTTAATATTGTATATATTAACTGACACTCCTAGGGTTGCTGTTACAATGAAGTGTACTATACTTTCTTCTCCCCATATTCCAGCATCCTCTCTGTGCATAGGAACTGCACGGAAAGATGCTTTGACTCGATGATCTTAAAAGTAATTTCCAACCTCAATTATTGTATGATTCATCGCTGTTGTTGTAGGTACTAAACATTTTTTATACCATAATCTGAGCAGGGAGTTACCTAAATGGAGGTGCTGCAGAACAAGTTGGCTGCCTTGTGGGGGACCTCTTTCAGAACCCTTCATGTTCTAGGAATAATTCCTCTACCTTGAAACTGAAATTAAAATAGATCACATCTTGAAATGGTGTTTCCATATTTATCTGTAGGGTACTCTAGAATATATCATTCAAGAAGCAGCCTTCTCCGTGTGAAGAAAACTTAACTGTATTTGATGTTACTTTGCAGTTCTGCAAATTACAAGTATAGTGATAACTGCACTAAACCCAGTATTTTTACAATGTTTTCATAATTTGATTTTTTTTCTCTTTCAGTGCCAGTGATGCTCTTAAAGGGGAAGGATTACAAGAAGGTGTAGATTGGCTCCAAGGTATATCCTATGTAATTCTCTTCCTCTGCTTTCATTCTGTTAAGCTTTTTCATTTTGTAAGGGTTTTTTTTCTTTATTATTTCATTTGTTTTCTTTCTGTCCATTTCTGCTGTCAGATCAAATTACACAGTGAGTACTGATGCTCCATCTCGTATTTGCCTTTCATTTACCTCCTTAACATACACGAAAGATCATGTCCGTTTCTCTGACAAAAGCATGTACTTTTACTCTAGTGCCAAAATAAGAACAGCTTACATTGCAACTATCCCAGAATATGCAGACATTCATAACTACATAGAAAATACCAGATCCAGCCTAGAGGATGTATTACAAGTTTTTAATAACAAACTTGGTATGAATGCTGTATATCCTTCTAGTTGTATGTTGGTAAGGGTCTGGTCCCTTTTGTCCCCCCATGTACTGCTAAATACATAGATTAGCGAATTGTGGTGTTGTTTTGGTAGACTCATTCTAATTTTAGCTGCCTAAATTTCGTTGCTTACATTGTGTATGTGTACTAGGTAGTGCAGTATAAGCTGAATCTGCAAAAGTTTCTCTGTACTGGCCTGTTCTGTGCTGTGGCAGCCGCTAGATGTCAGCGATGTTCCAGAGTCAGTGCCACTAAACTCTTCCTTCAAAATGCAGCTGAACAACCATCCAGCGTTGCCTGTGTTTTAACATACCTTCATTTATCTATTGATACCAGACAGCCCTTTGTACTTAGCATCCTCACTGCTAATTAGAGATGGTTTGTTTTTACTGTGTTATTACAGACTAAAGAAAACATTCGGTCCAGTTTTGAGAGGAAGGGACCAAAAATAGTCTTTTTATAAAGAGAAAGAGATTTAATGCCCTACAGAAGGCCGGTGATTCATTCCCCACCATCTAAAAGTCTTCTGTCATGGGCAACCAGCATCTTACTGCTGAGTTTCCTTCACTGTGTATCCTGTTATATTTTGTCAGAAAACATTCAAGTTGCATATATGGATTTTTAAGCACAGTAAGCAGGTGATTCTGCTGTCACACACATAGCTCTTCATAGCTATTCACTTCTCATGGGTTGTTAAACTTCATTTTCTGAGCTGGAATTCTTCATGGATGGGCTTTATCTGAAAGTTTCCTTTAACTCAGCTCAGTGTCCTTAGCTTAAAAGGAGTTGGGTTTAAACCGTATTGTTGCCTAAGCATGTGCAGTTTGGCACTTACTTACACTTTTAATGAATGGAAACTTTGCTATTGCAAGAACTATGATTTTTCTCCACATTCCTAGACCACGAGATGGAAAAAAATGAAATAACTCTTAAGTTATAAAGGTCCCTAAACCACTGCCTGTGGATGCCATAGAATTCAATGGAAGAAATAACACCTTAATGAATGGTTAATGGTTTGATGAATGCTCAGTTCTCCCTGTAAGCAGCCAGGCTTTCCTTAGTTGGGTCCTTGCAGACCCTACTGGTAGTTCACAGATTTGGGGCAGCAGGGGCAGAAGGGTTTACATTTATTTCCCCCAGCCTAGTGAAAGCTAAGTTTGCATATTTCCCTGTTTTTGTAATGCAACAACACACCATCAGTAGGGTAAAGCAAACCTGTCTCACAACAGCCTAAACCCAGCTCACGTTCCCTGTTAGTGGGATGAATTGTGCTGATTTGCACATTTTGTAATGGGGATGTGGTATATTTATGCTAACTAAGGAAGTGTTTGATGTGAACTGAAGAGTGGCAATCAGGCATCAGTATGGAGAAGTGTGGCTACTGAGAGCAAGGAAGTTGTCATGCAAGTTATTAAAAACCAAGCTTTACATCCTTTGCTGTTGGGGAGTTGGTTCATGTTCAGTTACGTGGAAGCTGAAAAGTGTACAGGGAGTTAAAATAAAGTAAACTTCTAGGCCTTATTCTCATAAAAGTTATCCAATAAGCCCAAAAAGAAAAGATAAAAGTTATGTGGTGAAGTCTTCCTGTTTAATTAGCAACATTCAGGAGAAACAACTTTGCTGTGGAGGAATTTTGGAAGAGGATGAGAGACCAAGTTGAAAACAACTGCATTGTCCCCCATTCTTGTTACTACACCAAAATATCTTTTGGTGTATGTCTGTAACCTGGACAATACTGGGTTATTTTGTTTTCAAGAAGCAAAATATAGCAAGAATTCATCTTGTATTAAGATTAGCCATTTCTTTTTCTTAACAGATCAGATGCAAGCAAGGAAGACATGAGAGATAACTGAAAGATGGCGTTCTTTAACAAACTTTGTCATTAAGTGCACAAGTTCCTTGGAAAAGAATAATGATTTAGATAAAATTAGCAGTTCAGCTAAAATATACTCTGTTGACATGTTCCCTTTCAGTATCTTTTCCAGGAAAACTGAATGTAGACAACATAGCACCTCAGGTATGCACACTGATGAGCTGAATCTTGTGACTGGAGAGCATATATATTAAAAAGTATATATATTTCTGTTAAACATCTGCATTCATTTGAGTTTTAGGTAATAATCAGCTGTCGTGAAATGCCCCTCTGTTTTTTTGGGGGGCATTTGGGCACCTTTTGACCAAATGGGAATATTTATTTTCCTGAGAAAGAATAATCAGCACTTTCTGAAATACAGCTGCACGAGATACCTACTGATTTTAGGTGCCCATTTTTAGGTATTTCTGCATTTTTCTTATCGTAAAGTCTGATGTTGGGGTTTTAGTAACCATCTACAATAGGCTTCTAGAGGAATATTTCGATGCAAGATACAAGGATTTGAACGTTCAGTGTATTTGTTATAGATGATTGCAGATGTTTTTAAGGAACTGCTTTTAATGAAATGTTATAAATTGTTTCTGTAATATGCCATGGTTATATTTGCATTCAATAAAACTTTAAATATACAACATGCCATGTTAATTTTAAACTTATATATGTTCATTGATGGTCTTTATGTCTTAAAATTTTTGGTTTTCTGTTAGTTTCCTTTGGAATTTGTCCATTTTCCAATGGAAATAGCATTGTATAGTGTAATAAAATGGTATCTCCTTTTCCAAGTGCTTTATTTTGTTTTTTAATTGAATATATTTGTTACCATTTCTAATAAACTAGACTGTTCTGCCAGATATTTAAGGCCCATATGGTTGAAAGCTATATTTTGAAAGCACAGTTAAGGGACAGTTCGCTAGTTTACTAGATCGTTAATATGTCGTGTACATATGAAATGTTGTGTATAAAAACTGTTCTACTTTCAAGACTATTTTTTCCTAAACTTTCTGATTTCAAAGATGTATTATAGGTAACAAATTAAGACCTTTATTTTTGTTATGCTACCTCTCTCCCTTTTACCCCTCCTCCCTTGCCCAAGAAACAAGCAGACTGGCACTGTACTGATCAGCTGATTCCTGTGGGAGATGTAATATACAGGTCTTGCAAAAGCTTCCTCCCCTCTTTATTCACATATGAAACACACATATGTTCTGTAAGCATGCCTTCTAAGGCTCACTTAATAGAGGAATATTTGTAGCAAAGGGCCCTGCCTGAAATGGTAGAACAGTTTTATGTACTTTTACCCCTTATTAAACAATAAAAATTAACTCACGTTGCTAGAGGGAGGTAAGTCTTGCTGTAAAAAACCTTTCTTACAGGATTCTATCATTCAGACAGTTCAGTCTTTGTGACGCCTTTGGCCTTCTGTCAGCTCTGAATCTAAATACCTCTACAAAATCAAATACAAAGGAGGAAAAAAACCCATAATTCTGAGACTTTTTCTAGCTGAATTGTGGGTAGATAATTTTCTGGTTTACTTTGCATTGGTTAATATAGTAACAAAATAATACTTGTTGGAAACCTTTTGCTGAGTGTAAGTATTTTGTAATTATTTTGGTTCACTTATATGGCTTATTTAAATAAAATGTTTCATTTTAAGTTGGCTTTATTTATTTTCTACCACAGAAAATGTAAGTCCTGATATAAAAGCACTGACTTTCTTGAATAAACCACACCTTGGTAGCTTTCTGACTATTTTTGTTTATGTTACAACTACACAAAGTGATATGTTTTCTCTCACTTCCAGAACATTTGTTACCTTCCTATGAACATAAATCTACCATGTTCATGGTGTGCAGGCATAGGTCCCTAACCTACAAAGTTGGTACAGCCTTGAGTTGCTCTAATATCATTCAATTTGGTACAAGGATCACATACTGCACAAAACCCTCATGCATCTTTACAAAAAGGCTTCTTTGGACCAGTTTTCTGAGGGCTCAGTGGTTGTCACTCTCCAATGCTGTTTTCCCATTACATTTAGGATGGTAAAATAATGTGTTCTACTGGATGATCTGAGACAATTTACATGTATGAGTTCATTGCACCTTAAGAACAAAGCAGACAAGTTCCTTTGGAGGTTTAAATGAGACTTGCAGAATATTCCTTTTTTTCTTCATGTTACTATAAGTGTATTCATAAAGTAGGAACTTGAAAGGCAATAGAGTGACTGAACGAGATTATGAGAGAGTTTGGTCTTCACACCCCACACGTTATATGCTGTTGCTTCTGTGCACTAAGCTGCCCTTCTATGTAATTATGAATTTCCTTAATATATGCCTGGAAATGCTTAAGACTGTAGAATTTTCAACTGAAACATGAAGCAGTCATTCTCACATACGAAGTGTTGCCTTCTTTACTAAGTGGGGGTTATCAGGTAAATGTGAATCTGAATTCTTTCTAGCCTTGCCTCTTTGGTACTGAGGATGCTTAACAATACAGGCTCCCTAGTAAGGAAAGTAGCCCCATCAAACTGCTGTTGTAGAGCAAGAGAGTTGGTGCTGAGGACCTGATGGTCTGTGAGGTTTTGAGTTTCCTTTCAGCTTGACTCCTTTCTGGCCCTCCACACAGTGCCTCTTACTTGCTGGAGCGGGTCGGGCGCACTCTGAGCTTTCCAGTGTACTTTCATCCAGAAAGAATTCAGTTTGTGTACTCCTAGCCTACTTTGAGATGTAAACAAAAGCGAGGGTGATCTTTAAAGTACCCTTGTGACCTGAGCTAGCATACTAGTGTGGGCATGCCTGTACAAACTTAAGAGGAAAACAATTCCAAGGTATTAAAGCCAGAGTTGAAACCACGTAAAAGACTAGCAGAACTTGGCAAAAGGTGTCAATTCCAGGGAAACATCTAGTAAAAATACAAGTTTGTAGTACAGTCCAACCAGAACTGGGAAAAGTGATTCTGTTATTAAAGGATATAACCATTAGACAGGGATTAGGTGGTAACAATTCCAATTTAGAGGAAATGGCATAATGTGAATTGTGAAAAATAGGCAGCCGTGAGTAAAAAGAGGAGTTATCAGCTGTTTGGCATCATTGGTGTTCCTGGTGTTGTCTGTATTTATGAGCACAAGTTTAAAGTTGTTATTAGGGAAAAACTTTGCAATGTTGGGGTTTTTTTTACATACGTATATATACTTAAAATCTCAGACTGTAAGTAAATCTGTATGTTTTAATCTTATCCACCAACATTCATTAGCATAAGCTGAACAGGAAAAAAGTGTCTAAAAATTGGTGTAATACGTAGCAAATGGATTTAATGAACCAGAAAGTCTACACTGTTTCAATTATAACAACAGTCCAATAAAAGTTTCATCATTTATTATAATAGCAATGGATTACATGGACGCAAATTGGTCCAATTTAACATTTTCATCTGGGACATAATTTTGTTGGCCAGTAGTTACCTTCTTCCTTTAGAGGAGTAAGGATAGACAAAGGGTTTCTTCTCAAGGGTCAAATCTTTCAGCTGGGAAAGTGATGCTTTTCTCCTGTAATAATTCTTCTTCCCTCTGTCACCCCTCCCTCTTAGATTTGTTTTGTTCTGTTAGGTTAGGTTTTCAAAGGGAAAGGGCTACTCTGTTTTGAGGCGCCTAGAACCCACGGATAATTGTCTGGGTTTGTAAGTCCTCTGCTGAGGTTCAAATTAAGTGCAAGTTAATGCTCTAAAATATTTCTGGCATCAGTTTCAAAGCAGGCTGAATTGATTTATAAACTAATCCAATCTAATGGCTAGCAAGCATTGCTGCATGTTGCAGTTAAGGTTTGACCCTTCTATTTCTCTAATTGTTACCATTATAAAATAAGAATAATAAAGTTTATCTTGGTAAACTGTTGCAGCATAGACACTTCAGTGCTGACTTCGGAGTATTTGCGTATGTACAGGCCTTTTCTGTTGCAGCATTAGAGTTTATGGAGAGTAAAAAGCATATATCCAAACTCAACTAGTTTAGGATGTAGGAGTATTTTTTTTAGCATCAAATTTCCTTTTCACCCATTTCACAACTGTTAAAGCACTGCTTAGATCTCTGTCTGCTCTGTCATGCGATGGCTCAGAAAAGGATTTAAAAACCCCCTTTTGTGGGTAGTAAGTGTCATGCTTTCCTTGAGGTGTGTGCTCTGTCATTGTGTTAGGTACTGCATTTTAATAAATAAGTCCTTGATGAATACAGGATACAAAATACCTACATGCTTTCTTCAAGGCTGTAGCAAAATGCCTAAGTTAAGTGAATGACAGTTGATCTGATGTTGGCATCATAATAGGAGCACTTCAATCAGTTCTTAATATAAAGAAGATTGTACATCTTTATTCAGGGAATTGATTTAATGAGAGATAATGTGAACCTTTCTTTTCAGCAGCAGTTCAGCATCCCCTGAACGAAATTGGGAAGAGCTGCTGTACATCTAATATTTATGAGCTACAGTAAGTGCATCCTATGCAATGCTATATTCTATTTCAGGGAAACCACTTTAGTCTTATTACACATTTTATTTGACTACAGCTGTACATTACATGCAGAAAATACTTCTAAGGAACAACATCAGATAAAAAGACTAAGTCTTAAGTTCATATCCCTGAGTTTTCATCTTTAGCCACACATGGTGTGTTTACTTTGCTGAGAAAGCTTTTCTTCTCTGACTTCAATAACAATGAATGCTTGAGTGAGGAAATGTGGATTATTCAGAACTGTTGTTCTTGGGTATTAAGAGAAATCTTTCCCCTACTAAAGGTTCTGTGTGTTGAGCTCAAAAAAAAGGGGGAGTGTTACTTACCCATGCTGTTCTGTGATTAACAGTCACTTGCGTTCTTAAAAACTTGGGCTTTAATTGTTCTTTCTTACCCTTTTTGTGTGTGAAACACAGAAGTTTGACATAACAGTGAACAGTATGCCAAGAATTAGACTCTGTTTTTCTGTTTGTGCTCTAAGAAGATTGAAGTATTTTCTGCCTGTTTGGAATAACTTAGGGTTATAATTTGTAAACATAAGAAAAGGTCTTTTCTTTGTTTTCTTTTCTCTTTTTGTTTTTTCTGGAAGCTGAAATGAAGTGGATAAGAAAATGAGCTGTTCCATGAAACCAGATGGGATTCTGCAACATTTGCAGCCAAAAGCTGTTATGATCCCATTTGACTCAAACCCATAAGAATTCTGCTTGTTAGAGACCGGTGTCCGTCATTTCTACATACAGAATAGTTTGCAGTGTATTTCTCTGGACACTGAAGATGATTCTTCCTTTTGGTATATACTGACATGCACTTGCTATGAATGTGGTAGGGTTTCCTCGTTGTTTTTTTTAACAATATATATGTATATAGGTTTTCTAATTGTGAGTAAAGGGCTCAGATCATTGTGTTAAAAGGTACTCCATGTTGTGAAATGCAGCAGGACAGGCAAAGGGGTGGAATTGGTGCTTCTCTTAAAAGTGTTTTGCCATCAATGGTTCTAGGAAGCTTTGGGATCCAGGGACTAGTTTTAAGAAATTCTTGAAAGGTAATGAAAAAAGGCAAATCTGCTGTCCAGAGGCTTAAGTTTACTGTACATAGGCTTGCACCATAATCCAAGACTGCTTAGTAATCTGCAAATTGAAGAGTGCACTTCTTTATAGATGCACGGAAATAGGGTAAGCCTTTAGAAAATTAGTAGTTTGATTTGATACTTGAAAGTGTAGATTTGTACAGAAACATGTATATTCATTTTTAACTACAAATCTGATGTTCAAAAAACTGTCTAGATGGAAAAGTGTTCAATAAACTACAGTGTATGAATTGCTGGTTATATATTTAATGGATTTACTCTATTTGCATGTAAGGCACCTCTACTCAAAAGCTCTTGCATTCTTCTGGACACTAAATTATTTGTGCTGCTTTTTCCCATACATACAATGTATGTTAGAAGTTGGATAAAATTAGCTTACTGAAGCACTTTGACCATAATTTTGCTAGTAAGGATGGTGGTGTATAGAGACATCGGCTTAGCAAGGAAGCACAACCCGGTATAGGATGGTTTTACAGGGACCTCGTTATATGAAGTGCAGATTTTCTTGAGCTCTAGTTAGAGTAGGGTGTTTTGCAATGATTAGCATTGGTAAGAGCACAACTGAGTTTCATCTTTAGATTCACACGAGTGTAATTGATATGAGGTGCTATCAAAAAATTGCTTGGAAGCCTTCCAGACAAGCTGTGCTAATCAGCTGAGAGTTATCAGCGCTATTGGAATTAACAGAAAAAGGACTTTGGTCCTCATCAACAGTAGTTAGTTGCATACATACCGCTATAGTATGAGGCTTCTGAATGCTTTTTGTTCCATGCCCAAGTGCATTGAATGTCTATTTTAAGAAGAGGTGCTGTAGGTACATTGGTCATCTTTCATTTTGCTCTGTACAGTTAGTTTTCAATAGCACTTCTGCTACTAGATAAATGTAAATGCCACAGATTACAGTGTGGAAAACAAATTGGAGAGGCCTTCCAAAAAGCTGATTTAAAGGGGGTTTGGTTTTGTTTTGGGGTGATTTTTTTGTAATTACTACATAGAACTTTGGCCATAGGTGGCACAGTGAATAAATCCTACCTCAAATTCTAAAGAAAACAGATACAGCTCTCAATAACTGCGGTTAACACCATGAGTCATTTCCAGCTGTCTTCCCCAGACACGAAGGCATCTGAACAATAGCAGCTGACCCTGTGGCTCTCTCTTTTTTTTAAGCCATTTCTAATAAATCAAATGGAGGAACTGTGTGTTCACAGTAAAAGGATGAGGGTTGCTGGAAGCTGTGCAGCGTGTGCTTTATAGCAGAAGGTCATGGCATCACAGAAAATACATCCTAGAAATCCTTGCTAACGTGCTTCATCTGTGTAATAACATATCCAAGACCCAAATCTGTTGTTCGCCTTCATTTTAGAATAAGCATAGATTAGAGATTTTAAAGTCATCAGTCTTTGTCCCAACATCTGGACAACTAACATTGTGGAAAATGGCTAGAAAATACTACATGTGATGGCTCCATTATGTGCATTTATTAACTCGTGGTCTTATGCCACCTATTAGAAACTTTGCTATAATATATTATACACTGGAAAGGAAAAGGATAGATAAAGGACCATCTGTTATTAAGGTACTATTTGTGCCACATCTAACCGTAGACATGTTCTGTAGGAGCCTGGAGAATGGGACTGCCTACTAACAAGAAAAAGTAGCCAAGACATACAGAATCATTTTTTAGATCAGTGCATTAGAAGTGTATGAAACAGAAAACTGAACTATGCTTTTGTTTGGCAGGGTTGTGCCTCAGAACAGAAGACTATTTCTTGTCGTAGCGATCCAACAATGCAAAAATGTTTGAGAACCCTTTTTCATTTAATAGTTGTGCTAAGATGTGCTTGTGGGGAAAATGTTTGGTTTGGTGGTTTTTAAGACTGTATTTCTCCCCTAGTTATGACTTTGATGTGTCAGAAAAGTTCTAAAACTGGATGTGAGGGCTCTTCATAAGCCAGTACAATGGAAACTTGCTTTCCTTTTTGGTATCCAAACAAAACAAAAGATTTGACTCAAGACTTTAAAGACCCATAAAAAGGAGGAAATTCATAAAGCACAATTAAAATTTCACCATCTGCTCACTCTAAAGCAGCAAAGAGAAGGGGGAGGTTTCCCTTGTGCACAACCAGTATAATCTGAATTGCAGCAGAAAATCAGTGGATATGGAACAGGCAAAGCACCTTCCGCTCTCCTATTTGAGATACTGATTCAAGTTAAACTCTGGGCAGGATGAGCTACAGGGAAAAAAAATGTAGTGAAAGCCTTGGCTTGACATTTTCCTCTTCTGTATCATTGTATCTCAGTACAATTGTGTTTTAATGGTTTCTCACTGCCTTGGGCAATGCCACATTACCTCCCATAGGCCACATGTGAGTAGTCTTAATCTGAGGCAGAAAGGAACCTTTTTCCCCCCCATCTGTTTTGACTTGCATGTGTTGGTGCTGCTGTTAATGCTGACAGCTGTGTTAATATGCGAGGCCACCTGCCACTTGGTAGATACTGCATCTCTGGGTAAAAGCCTGACTTGTCTCCCTTCATGGAAGGTGTAGGTGGCTAAAACCGGGTTTCTGTTGGCAACTCTGCTGGTGGTTCCCATTTTGTTATTTTACATGTGTCAAAATTAGTTACTCCTCAGTCATGTGGTACTTAATAACTCCAGGGTATGGAAAAAGAAAGGATTATCCAACATGGGTCATGTTCCTCTTTTATATCGATATAGTTTTACTACTTGTATTAGAATTTACTTATGTGCCTCCGGTAGAACTGGCGTTTAGGACATTTATGTATTTTCTGCCTTTAGATGCAGTGATGAAAGGAGAAACAGATTTGAGCACAAAATGTTACTGTTTGGGATTAGCATTTCTGATTAGGTTGGCTCTTTGTTCTTGGACAAGCACAGCGCTGGTAATGCTTCCCGCTGCACTGTGGTGCCCCTCCAGGCGCCTTGCTGGTCGAGTGTGGATAGATTTTGGATGCAGCTAGGTGTTTTGACTGCCTCTGTGTGCAAACCACGCACCATAATATACTTAACTACATCCTGAGGTGGTTATGAGGATTAATTAACACTTAAATCCTTTGAAGATATGGGACGCTTTATAAATGCTAATTATTATATTCAGGTTTGCTACAGCTTAGGGATTAGACCCTACTTAAGCAATAGGTAGGGAAGCTGCGAGATGTAGGCGGCAAAGAAGAATTAAAAGTAATAAACAGTCACTGAGAGCCTAAGCCTCCCTGCAGCTTGTTGGTGCAGTCCCCAATAAATTGCCACTCTTCTAATTTGGTTTTGGAGCCTTAATTACTTTTATTTTCAATGTCAGAGGGAGTGTCTCCTCTATAATGTTCCATAGGGGCTGCTGTTATGTTTTGTAGTATATTCTGTTCTGGAATGAAACACTTCCTATTTTTGCGCTAGTTTAGGGGCATCTGTATGACTTGGATAATTGTCTGCACACTGAAAACTAGGCAGGACCTTGTTGTGTAGTAAATGCTGTTCCCCTGAATAAGTTTTGTGACTGACAATTATATGATGAAAAAGGTCCTTTTTGTAACCTGTTTACCCACCAGCTAGTCCTAACTCAGGCTGGTAAAGGTGTAAGTACATGCCCAATATCCACCTGTGTCTGTGCTTTTACAATCCACATCAAAGCTGCACGGGACCTGGACAACACAAAGGGAGCTGTCTGTGCGTGTCTTTAACATTTTGCTTATAGCTGAGGCAATGGAAAGTAGGCAGAAAAGTAGTCAGTAGTTTATTTTCAGGCTGTTTTATTGCTGCTGCTCTGCAGATGGGCCTAGAGTAGAGTTTTCTATCCACCCCAAGTTGCAGGCACGGCAGGTTGATACTATGGCACAGTGGTAGAGAATACGGGCACATAGGCCTTGGGTATAGAGGGGGGCTTGCACCAAGTGGTCTCTCAAGGTCCCTTAGAACATCAGCCACACTGATTCTGTGAGACCGCATGATGCAACAGGGAACTGGTTGATAAAAAGGTGAGGTTTAGAACACAGAGAACAGTGGAGATGCTCATGAAAGTGAGAAATGAAAGTGTGGCTCTGAGTTGGAAATCCTAACATCAAGGTTTGTTTATTTTACTGGTAATTCACGCTCAGTGAATCATTTAGGTTTTGTGCATCGCCTCTGTCTATAAAATGAGGATAATATTTGTCACCAGGTTGTTGCAATGGCAAGGTCATGTCTGTCGGTAGGGATGTTAACTCTAAGGAGGCCACAGTTCTCAGAGGGACAAAAGCGAAGGTTTCAGTATTAAAACAGAACAAAACTCCCTTACAGGAAGAGATCTCCAAAAGGGGAGCCCGTTCCTGCAAGTCACTGGTCTTCATGGGCAAGAACGGCCTGAACTGACCGCAGAATGACAGCGAGAGGCGAGTGGTGGAACCGTGCAGGTGGCTGTGGTGTGCGGCAGCCGGTCCAGGACAGGGCGAAGCCGATTACTGACTTCGCAGCGCCAAACGTGTGCTATCTCAGAGCTGGCACAGGGTAGTGCTGGTGTGTGCAGCCAGGCGGGAGCGTGAGTTCTCAACGCTGTTCTTTTTATTACAGAGTTAATTTTCCCTTCTGACCTTTCCTCTTTGCTCACGCTAATTACGCCGCATTAACTTACAACCACAGCCACCTCGCTTGGTGGCGGCAGCCTGCGTGCTGTGCTACTTCCACCTCCGTTCCCCCGTGCTCCACCTGGGCAGGAGCTGCTTCCCCACGCGTCTGCGGCCAGCGGAGCCCGCTCCGACAGCGGGGAAACGCCTTCCCCTGCCCCATCCGCACCACACAGGGCCCGGCCTCAACTCTCGGTCTTCCCGCCCTCCGCCAGCCGCGGCCGGCCCGCCGGCGAGAAGGGGCGGGCGGAGCGGCGGTTCCGCCCCTGCCGGAGGAGGAGGGAGAGGTTTGCCGCTGCTGCTCTCCCGCCGCCGCGGGGACTCGGTGCCGGGCGGTTGCTGACGGCGCCTTCTGTCCCGTCCCGGCCACGATGTCCGGCGGCGGCAGCCGGCGGCGGGCCGGTCCCTCCTGGCACAGCACCTTCTCCCGCTTCTTCACCAGGAGCCCAGCCGGGGAGGCGGCGGCGGGCGCTAACAGGTACGTGAGGGACAGGACCTGACCGGGCCGGTCGGGTGGCCGCTGCCGTCCTCTGCCCCGTCCTGCCTGGCCCGAGCCGCGGAGCGAGGGACGCGGGACCGTTCCGGCTGCGCCTTTCTCCCCCGGTGGATGTTGCGACACCAGTGGGTGCGGGAGGGAAAAGAAGCGGGGGTGCGTTCACTGCTGGCGGGGAGGGAGAGCTCCCCGGGCGTCCCGGGGCTACGGCCCCGGCGGTGGGGTACCGTAGGGCGGCTCGGCCGGTCAGCGGGCAGGCGCGGGCCTGGCTCCTGGGAGAGAGCAGGCTCGGCGGCGGGCGGGCGGGCGAGCGGCGGTCCCGGGCGGGGCGGTGTCCTGTCCTGTCACACGCAGTTCGGAACCGGGGGTGCGTGTGCGGGTGTTCTCTGGCTGCTGGCAGCGCCTGAGCCCGTGGTGGTTTTAATTTAACCCAACTTTGGCACGGCGCGGGCGGGCCCTTCCGGGCTTGTCGAGGCCGTGCGACGCCAAGGGGTTCTCGTGGTGGGAGGGCACCGGCGTCCCGCGGCCCCGCCGGCCCATGGAGCTCCGCCTGAAACACGCGTTCGGTGCGGGAGGGAGACTGCGGGGCCAGGGCCGTGCCGGGGAGCGGGTGTCGGCGGTGGGGCTGTGTCCTTTCCTTGGGCACCGAGAGCAGGTCCATGAGGGGTTAGAGGAGGGCGCTTGTTTTTCTTTTGGACTGGTGTAAATCAGACGTTAACTCAATATAAATATTACTGATGTGCTTAAGTCTCAATGCAAAACCTGTAGTTTATGGAAACCTGGGTATTGATAACTATTTTTCTTAGTGCAGGGAGACTTTGCAAGATGAAAAGGTTTGGAAACTTCTTGTGGGTTTATTCCTCTTCCATTTTTCCTTTTTGTTTGATTGGTAGTTGATTCCTGCATGTGCATAGGAAAGAAGCACAGCTGAAGTTTCCTTCTGCTTCCTATGCAGCCTTATTATTGGCCCTGGTTAATTAGGGTATTTTTGTGGTGAAAAGTTGCCAGCTGGCTAGGCCTTATTTCCTCAGGTGTAGTATTTGTTTTTGCATTTAACATGTTGGTTTTAATCTGTGAGTCATTCTCGATACTACATACCTTTGTGTTTGAACTGTCAGAGAAGTAAGTGCAGTTTAATCACGTAGATAGTGGGTATCACAGTAGGTCTTTCAGTGAGAAAACTTTAGGATCTTGCTTTGTGTGGTTTTGGCAATCATGAAAAACATCAGGTCTTATTGCTATCTTATGCTGACCATCTTAAATGGTCTCTTAAGTGCACCACGAGGACTTCTAACTTCAGAGGTTTTCTTTAAGTATCTGACCAATGCATCACCAAGGATTCGTCTGTTCATGAGCATGAAGCATTGCTTCTTATTTCCTGGGGGAAAAAAAGTTAGGAGCAAGGCTGCAGAATCAAGGACATCTTTACAGCCGTGGGAGTAGCGTGCCTGTTGTGTCTGGTGGGGTGGTTAAGATACGGCAGAAGGAAAAGGCTTAGATGTGGCTGAGGACCTGAAGAGGCAATAAGAGAGGTTCCATTGAAGCCCTCCTTGCCAGCTCCCTGCAGCTGTGGCTTGGAATAAACAAGCATAGCGGTCGCCTTGGTGAGAAGGAGGGTGATGCTAGTGTAGTGGTTTGTGTACTGAAAAGCCTATCTGTAGATAACACTCATGGTAGACCTGCTCCACTTCACTTGGAACTGGAGTCTATTATCTCTATCTAAATCACAGTTTCATTTCCTGCAGACGGGAGCCTTTCCTTTATTAGGAAACTGGGATAGTCCACCTAGGTACAAAGAGGCTTGGGTCTCTTGGCCTTGTCCTTGAACTCCTTGTGCAGTTAACTGGAGGTGCTTTCCCTTCTGGAATGGAAGCAAGCAAAAACCCTCCCTGTGTGAGGAGTTCCATTTGGTATGTTAAGGAGCTTTTTTACATTGTGCTGGGTTGCAGCGTGGCACGTTAGTCAGGAATGCTGACGTTCTAGTATTTGGTTTCCACTGGCAGCCTTCTTCACAGATTAGTGTAATTGCATGCATTAAACAGCGCTGGGTTGGGATGAGTGCCGCAGGTTTGCTTGTCATGTTTATTTAGTGAGCTTGGCAGCGTAGAAAAATGGATCTCTGAACAAAGCATTGTGTGTGGTGAGGGGGAACCAAGGCTGCTCTCTGTGTTTATTGTTAAGGTGTGGAGTGTGTGAGGCAACTTGGGGAATACATCTTCTGCAAAGTGTTGCAAGAAACGTGTAATATACCAGGGTGGTTAATTTCCTGTTCACGTTATTGGTATGGTATATGTTGGAACAAGATCAAATCTGAAATATATAGAAAGAAACTGATGTATGGAGGTACTTAACCTACCATTAAGTTTCAGAAAAGCAGAAGGCCTAAGTAAAAAGGGCAGGAGAGGGAGCAGTATGTTATACAGGGCCAAATACGCTCCCAGTGTACCTGCATTGACCTCTGGAGACATACATCGTGCTTAATGCCTGTGCAGAGCTCACGGTTTCCTAAATATTTAAAACATGCAAAAATGAGCCTGTGTATATCCAAAAGTCGTTTCCCATTTGCTCCCAGAAGTTAGGCGATAGCAACTGGATGGAAGCCCCTCAGCTTGGCAGGGTAGGGAGCTCTCACCCACTCCTTCTCCGGGCACTGAATTCAGATTTAGCTTAAAAAGAAATAAAACCCAAACGTACTGTGGCCCTGGTTTAAAATGAGAGGAAGGGGAGGGGGGAATTACAGTGTTTGTTAATCACTGTCTTAGGCTCTTCTGAGACCCTCATTTGATGAAGAGCTTATGTTAATAACCCTAGAGCAATTTGTAGCTCTGATGAACATGAGAATTGCTGGAGGCTTGCTTGCTTGTGCAAAAAAAAATAACCCATCCAGATTAGTTGCAAGTTTCATAGAAGCAAAAAGTACACCACATGCATTAACAGCTTACTTGGCTTTCACATAAAATAGAGACAAACGTGATGCATCTCCCACAGAGATTATGCCTGTGAGCATAAGCGTGTTCATGAGAGCTGGGGCTGCTTTGAACGATAGCTTAGGCGCAGTTCTTTATCATTAACTTCCATCAAAGGCTGGCATTATGCTCCACTTGGTTATTTGCTGTTTTCAGTAATACAAAATTGATTATTTGTTACCACAGTGCTTGTCTTGGAGTAGTCTAAATCCCCAGGGTGAAAAAGATCCCATTGAATCTTCACTATTCTAATGGGAGTGTGTTTGGTTTTGGGTTTGTTTGTTGTTTTGGTTTGGTTTTAAATGTAAGTTTCTTTAGTCCATCTGGATGAAAATAGAGCTTTTACGGTGCAAGTCAATCCACTGCTGATTCCTTCAGAAACATGCAGCTTCGGTGGCTGTGCAGTTGTTGTGTTGCAAATAAATGTGACCTTTCAGGTCATGCTAGAAGCTGCCAAGGAGGTGTAACACTTTTCACTGAGCTCTTTAACCCAGAGCTACCACCAAAATCTCCTCTAAACTATGGATTAATTTTGTTAGTTATTCTGCGTGTTGTTTAGCAGATTCATTTCAGGTTTATGTTTTTCCCCCCAAGTGCTGTTGGCTGCTTGGTCAAATAACTATCAGTGCAAGTGTGCCTTTGTTGGGCTTGTCCATATATTTCTTCTGCATCGCTGAAGTGTACTAGAGACATCAAACAGGGAATAGCATCCTTTTATTTGGGTTTAGAGGGCTTTCGGGTGGGTTTTTTTTTCAAGCTGAGATTATTGTTCTGTTCATCCATTAGATTTGGACTAAGAGCTTTCAGAGATGGAAGAACTTTGTTTATTCTGCCTGAGGAGAGATTAGAGAGTCTCTTTCTTCCTCCGGGGCTGCCAGTCATTGTTCCTGTTTACAAACAACATGTATTTCTGTAGTTGTAAAAACTGCGCATTTGGGGACTGCTGGGAACTGACTGAAAGGGGAGTAATACATTTCAAACTTAGCTCTTTGGAAGTTACTATCTCCTGGCTGGTCTTGGTTCAGATACCATTGGCACCACTGAAAAAATCCATTGTTTGCTGGGAAAATCAGTCTCTGCTTTCTAATAAACTTCCTCCCCAACCCCCACAGTAGGATTTGTTGTTAAAACTTAACTCATTTTTGAGTGTACATCAGGGGTGATGGTTTTTGGGACTGGCAAATGGAATGCTCCCAGCACAGAGAAAAATTCAAGTTAGATTTCCCTAAGCAATATGCATTATGAAAATTTTCTGTTCATTCGTTAATTTCAGAGTTTTATTTCTTTTTGCTTCCTAGATTTTTCTATTATGTCTTTTATTGCAGGATAGTTCAAAATAGTAGCAAAGGCCCTGATCCAGCAGGTTACCAAAGTGGTTGCCTGTCAATAAATAGGTAAATAGTTTTGTGTGCTACTGTGGGACCAGTTGTTCATTAGAATTAGGTGCATACCTAGATGTCTCATGGGACTGAGATCAGAGGGAGCAAGGCCAGCAGCTGGCCATGTATGTGTGAGACATTTCCTAAAGGAAATGTTACTAGAGTATTAATTCTAATAGTAGCGCTCTGTGGAAGAAACAAAGCAACTTCCCCACACACATGCACCACTCTTTTTTGAATGTTAACAGTGTTGTCTGCTTGCCAGTTATTGGTGTAAGTGCTAGAATTAATAAAAACCTATTTCTCAAATGGTTTTAAGAAAGAGAGTTCTGCAAAGATGAAAACTTCTCGGTCTTTGGTGAAGAAAAGGCTCACAGGTGGAAAAGAAGCAAAATTCAGAACATGGTGCTGTGGGGGTTGTATTTCTTATCACTGAAACTTCTATGGAAAAGTATTTTTGGAAATGTTTTTGAATTTCATACATTGTTTGTATATGTACTCACTCAGTATATTATTATTATTATACTTCCAGACAATAGCACAGCAATGTTGCATAGGCTTTCCAGGGGATACCTCTGTTCTTCTGGTATTTTAATTTTCACTTCTGAAATAATTCTTACAGTTTCTGACCAACTTTACA